GAGCCTCTACGACGTGCTGCGAGTCGAGCGAGACGCGTCGCCGACGGAGATAAAATCAGCGTACCGTAGCCTCGCGAAGCTCTACCATCCCGACGCGTCGGTGAGGCGGTCGCCGGAGATCGACGGCGACGTCGGCGGCGGAGACTTCATTCTGATTCGGAACGCGTACGAGACGCTGTCGGATCCTTCGGCGAGGGCGACGTACGATATGACGCTGGCGGCGGCGCAGAGCGGGAGACTCCGCCGGTGTCCGGTGCCATTGAGTCGGAGCCGGTCGCCGGTGTTTTACGCGACGCGGAGATGGGAAACGGACCAATGCTGGTAGAGTTAGAGGTTTGGATGAATATGTGTTTAACATGCTTCGGAGATTAACAAAGAAAACTGTGGACTGGTTAAAAAAAATTGAGAAAACGGTGAAAATGATTTGAGAAAAGAGTGATGTGATTTGGAAATTACTAACTTAGATTTGCAGAGGAAACCAACAGAGACAGAGAGAGATTAAGGAGGAAGCAAATTTTGCATCTGCTTCTTTTTGTGAGAATGTAAATGGATTTTATTTTTTAATTTTTTGAGTGCGGAATTTTTTCAATTTTATTTACTTTTGTTTGCAAATTAAGACAAATACAAAGGAATAATCTCATCTTTCTATATCTATCTATACTATAAAGTAAAGACACTGTGTGTAAATAGTTTTGGAATCTGCTTCTTTTTTTTTTTAACTATGATATCTTAATATTTAAAAAAAATTAAATCTCTAAATACAAATTACTTATTATTTTTTTTTTTATATTTTTTTCTATACTATATTTATAATCTACAACAAAGATGATAGAATTATAATTTTTTTTAGTTACCACTTTTTTAAAACATATTTACTTTTTAATACTGTAATTACACTTACTTTTTTTACATTTTAATTTTTATTTAAATAAAGTATATGAAGACATAAAATGTTTTCACCTAATAATGATGAATTACGGAGAAATAAGTAAATGAATGAGTCAAATAAAAGATTATAATCTTTGATAAATGTTAAAGTGAATTGATTCTCTATTAATAAAAGCACACTCGAGAGTTAATGTGTACTTGAGATTTTGAATTAATTTATATTTTATTAATAAAGTCGAGATATTTTATATTTTTATATTTATTTAAAGGTATTTTAAAGTTATGAATATTTGTTAAAATAATTGGTATTGTGCTTATTTTTCAAATCTCAAGATCACAAATTTGAATCTTAGATATGTAAATATAGTTAAATTTCAATGTTATTTTTTTATTATTTAAAAATTTATGAGTAAAATAATTCAAAAAATTTGTATACAAAAACAAAAAAATCACTTTTATATATAAATATAAGTTAAAAATTGATTAGAAAATCACAATAAAGATTAAAATAAGAAATAATTGTTTAAATTCTTTGCCATAATTTTGTACTTAAAATTATGGAAAATGCTAACAAGTACTCTTATCAAAAGTAGAAAGTTCTTCTAAAAAAAAAATAAAGTAGAAAGTTTACATAGAAAAAGTATATTTGCATATTCTTCGTATAACTTTATTTTAATGGAAATTTCTAACTAATAACAAGTATTCTTAGCAAAATTATAAAGTTCTTTAAAAAAAATCAAAACAGAAAGTTTTAATAGAAAAATATATTTGCATATTCTTTTGTATCACTTTATTTTAATGGAAATGTCTAACTAGTGCACATGTAAATGAATCAAAATAGAAATTTGCAATGAAAATTGTATTTGCACAATTTCTTGTGAAACTTTATTTCAATTTTAATTGAAAATTATTTACAATTGGTTCTAAACAATGATTAACAAGACCCTATTTTAAATTTTTTATGAAAATATGTATGAAAATATTCTACATATTTATTTTTTAACTATTATCCTTAGCAAAATCCTAAACTTAATTATCTTGCAGGGAGGATTTTCTTTAAACACTATAATACATTTTTAGATAATGACCCTTGTAAATGTAGGCATGTGATTTTTCTATTTTTTATATGAGTGAATAAAAATGGTCATCCTTTCAAAGGCCAAAGCTTCGTTAAGTAACCCATTAACATTAAGCAAATTAAAATGGTCATCCTTCTAAAAGTCAACTATCATTGTATAAGATTATCTCGTTGAGATCTAACTTAGATCTATCACGTAGGGTAAAATTTGTTAAGCGATCCATCATCCTGAATGAATTAAAAGTGATCTAACATAAATACCAATGTTTGTTTAATGAACTCATTTGTTAAGTTGATTTTCAGAATGTTCATTTTTTTTTAAGTGAAACTACATATTCTACCTTTAGACCTTCAACCAAATGATAGCTCGCTAAGTGAGAATGTTGAACACCCTTGACATGTGAGGCTTTTCAAGTCCCCGAACCTAATTCAAAATCGTCAAAAACATCACCAACAATATCAAAAGATTAAATCTTGTCCTTTATCATACATGCAACCAAAATACCAACATAAATCATTTCCCCCTTAAGGAGGATCCAAAACTTGCGCCATAGAAGAATTTTCAAAAATTTTGACATCAAGTTTTCAAATGGACTTTCCAACTCAACATTAAATAATAAACAAGAAGTAAACAAACTTTTTTTATCTTAATTAATTTCATAGAAGCTAAAACCATAAGAAAAGAAAAATGCTCTAAAATCCCTAAGTTCTACTTCTTTCTCCAAATTTGAGTTACATAAACTCTTAATCAACTTCTTAAGAATTGTTTTACTCATAAAAGATAGTTTCTTTTTTTTTTTTAATCCTAAAATAAGATAAATTGTGCATGTGAAACATGACTTTCAAAATACAAGTCATGTTTCACTAACATGACTTCTACCATTTTTTTATTTAAATTGTGTTCTTATACTCAACTTTCTTTTGTTTTACTAAATTTTTTAATAAGATATTATTTTATCATAAAAAGAAAAGAAAAAAAAAACAAAAAATAACATCTCCCTGACCTTGTCATTTATTTGGGAAAAAAAGTTATTTAATAAATCATAACTCTCGTTTTAAACTAAAAAGGTACGTCATGTTTGTGAAATATATTTCACAAACACAATTATCCATTTTGTAACGACCCGCTGTGACTGTCACACTACAAAATAACACTACACACTATTGGAATATATATACTAAAATAGTATAACAAAATATTTACAACACAAGTTGCTAATCAAGCAACCAACATCAACCAGTTATATACAACAAAATATTCTATTATAAGGTAGCCTACAAAAAGATATTCATCTCCAGGCACCTCCTATGGCCTCTAGCAGCTATCTCCCAGTCTATCCCTGTCCTGCTCCCATATAACGTATGATAATCGCAGTCCAAACCACATAGAAACATGCAAGGGTAAGCTAGAGACAATAAGCAACTCATAAATATCAAATATGAAATACAACAACTATATAATCATCTTCACATCCGACACAAATTATAAACGACACATATACTATACATCTTAACATCGTTTCAACTTATATTCAACATATCGACACTGATCAATACTTTAACACAACTACTGTACAAACCATTTGAAATAGTTACCATATTCATCATAACAACAACCAACACATGTATTACACATCTCTCAACAACACATGTTTAAAAACAACTTACAACATAACAACACTATCATCATCCTTAACAAGATCAACATACAACACAATCACAGCTTAACAACACAACAACATATATACAACTCTTATTAACAACAAATCAACTCATCAACAACTTATGCGTCGTCACGCATTTCAACTCGGAGATCGCCTACAACTGAGGTTGAGCAGTCTAGGTGGCATAAACCCTACCGAATCCAACGTTTGACCTATCTCAACCAGGTCAGGTATAGGACATCGTTAGGAACTCCGAAGAGAACCAGGTATAGACAACAATAGGCGATTGCTCAGGTGTGCCACTTAGACTCGGAGGTCCAGTACTACTGTCAGGACAGAAGGGTTTGGGTATGAGCCTACCACGGCCTTGGCTAGCATCATCAATCCACATATGGAGTTAGCCCACTCACTGTCCTCTAAGTACACTCACCCTCTAGTACCTAGTCAAAGACTATATCTCTAACTAGATACCTTACTCAAATTGGTCATTCAACCATAACATAGATCGACTACTTCCATGTCGTCCATATAGTACTAAGGGATTCAACTTTAAAACAACTTTCAACTTATCTCCTTAGTACTATGTATCTCAACATAGGACATATATCTTCACCATATGTCCCCAACTTTTCAACTTTACAACAATAGGCACCATAACAACTTTACAACAATAAACATCTAACCGCTTGTAATCGGTATAGCTCGGCCTGGCCCCTATACCGTGGTTGCTTTGTACACGTGTGCCTCGAGCTTGCCCACACACGGGATCAACTAAGTCCTAGAGGAGAACAACACAACGTCCACTCCAAGAGACAACTTCCCAAGGAGAGTTTTTCAACAAATTGGGCTCTCAGAGCACAACAACTATCTCAATCCACACAATGGGATGAGAAACTTAAAAAACATCTCTCCTAGTCCTAGTAATCAACAAATCATCATCACAGTTTAATCAGCTAACAACTCAACAGCACAGTTCAACTCAACAGCTTAAACAACATACAACTTTTCAACTCATCATCTCAATCAACTTTCAACTTAAACAACATGATATACAACAACAACTCATCAACACTATTTAACAACACATTTTAACAACACAACATCTCATTTCAACTTTAAACAACATAATTATCATCTCATCAGCTAACCTATTAACTTAATTTCAACATGTTTCAACAATATCAAAGATCAACACACAACTTGTAAACAACTTCACAACTTAATTACAACATGCATCTCATTTACATCTCATCTTCATCACAAAAGCATCACCAACAACATCATAAATAAATATTTAATCATATATTAGCAACACACAACATTTTCATCACATAACACAACTCATATTACATGTTTACAACCCATCTATCATGCCAACTTACACCCCAAACAACACCAATCAACCTAAGCACCTAAATGAGTCCTCAACTCACATACAACCAACAAATCTACAATTTAGCTTCCCTTACCTGAATATTGTCTCCGAACAGCCAAGAATTCGGGAAGAAGTAGAATTTTCTTTCCGAAGCTCAACACAGAACTTCAATCCACCCAAAGCAAGTTTCCTAGTCCAGAGTCATTCTCTCTAAAACTTCTCTCTAAAAACCTCTTCTTCTCCTCAACTGCACAACCTCTATTTATAGAAGTCTAAAGTGGCCAGAACAGCCCATTTTAAATCCGGAACGGCCCGTTCTGGGCTTCTTCATCATGTGTAAAAATCACATGCAGAACGGATCGTCCTAAAACCAGAACGGCCGGTTTCCAAACCAGAACGGCCCGTTCTGGAGTTGAATTTAACTCACCACAATCACGTTTGGAACGGCCCGTTCCGGTCTAGGATTTATAGGCCAATTTAATAATTTGGAACGGTCTGTTCCAGTTTAGGAACGGCCCGTTCTGGGCTTCTTCATCATGTGTAGAAATCACATGCAGAACGGATCGTCCTAAAACCAGAACGGCCGGTTTCCAAACCAGAACGGCCCGTTCTGGAGTTGAATTTAACTCACCACAATCACGTTTGGAACGGCCCGTTCCGGTCTAGGATTTATAGGCCAATTTAATAATTTGGAACGGTCTGTTCCAGTTTAGGAACGGCCCGTTCTGGGCTACTAAATCACTCATCGCCTTTTGAAATACTTACTACGTTACACATTTCATAATTTTTTTAAAAAAAAATTATTTTAGAAACTTTTGAATTATTATTTTTTTATCTCAAATAGATTAAAAAAAATCGCTTCTTAAATTTCGTCTCAACTTCGTGAAAAAATCTTGAATCTTTAAAAGAATCTAGAAAAGGAACATACTTCCTAAAATCTAAAATTCCTCTCATTAACTTGTTTCTAAAACACTTTAAAACAAAATAAAATTTTAGTTTTCATTTTTTCTATTTATAATTCTTCCCTTATATCAGTTTGACCTCAACATGAACTATAACTTCATAACTTCACCTTAAAAATTTCTAACTCTTAAATTCTACTAAACAACTAAAAACATAACATGGAACCTAAACTGAACATATATTTTAATAATTAATTGACAATGTTTAATTATACTAATTTTATGGAGTAAAAATACTTTTCTTAACTATTCTTTATTGAAACTTAATATAAATATAAAATATTCTTCAAAATAAAACTTCAATTAAATGTAGAATCTTAATATCGCTGAATAAGATAAAATCAATACTTATATTAGATATCATCATACACTATTTATTTATATTCAAGATTTAAGAGTGTTTATCATGTAATTTCATTTTATATTTGAATATTTTAAAAATATTCAAATTCAATTTAGAAATAAAAATAAAGATAAAATGTTCAAAAAAATCCTAAACTCATTCTCATTTAACATTGCTGTTTGAATTTATAGACATGGGATTAACGCATTTTAAAATTATGATTCCCACATGGACATGGAATACAAGAACCTGAGAATTTAGAGTCAAAAATTCAATTTCGTTGCTGCAGAATATTTTGACATATGAACTACCTAACATCTGTCAACACTTACTACCCAATTTCGACCCTTTCAACAAAAATCACTGAGCTTTGTACAAAATTCCAATTCTATTACAAGTTCACAAGGCGAAGAATTTGCACATTTCTGGAAATGAAAAGAAAAAAAAATCATCATCATCATCATTTACATGTCATAAGCATGGAGTTGACGACATGCAATAAAAGACGGATACTTGACAGATCAGATCCAGTCATTGTAGGCAAGCTACGTTGATGATTGAGAATCTGATAGACTTGCTCAAATATGGGTCGTGTGTGCGATATAATCACAGGATCTGACGGGTTTATGGCAGCAGCCACATCTGTCAACCACGCAATCTTTCGCGCTGTATCGTTGTTTATATCACAAGCCAACTGCTGCAGAAGTGAAAGCAATACACCTTGGCTTAAAGGAAGAGGAACCATTGTCAAAAGTCCACGTAAATCAACCTGCTTAGCACAAACGAAGTGAGTGAGTGAGTGAGTGAGTGATGCTGTTAATTCTTCTTAACTATTAGTAGTCCATACTTATTTGAATAAGATTATAAATATCTACACACAAGTGTAAGAATTTCAATTAATGTTGATGCTTCTTCAACTCAAGTAAATCAGAAGATTTGGATTGCAAACGGTTGTAGTAGCATTTTACACCATTTGCCCCTCCGAAACCAATCATAGCTGATAGTTAACATCTGTTTGATTGAAAGATATAACATCTGTGGCATACCTGAGAACATAACCAAGATACAATGGATACATCACTTCTATGTAGAGCTCCAATGAAAGCCTCCTCGTATTTCCGTTCAGAAATCAACCTTGTTAGCTCCTGTGTGGGATCTAGGGGCACCTCAACCTGATACGCAATGCAAAATTGCAAAAGCAAATATTACCATGTACGCTCAAAAGAAAAGCTTTCTTGTAACCACTACCTACAATTAAGACCCGCAATAGCAAAGTTACCCCACCTTTTCATGAAGTAAAGGACCATTGTTCAGCTGGACGGGCAAAGGATTTAATGAGCCTGAGTTTGTTCTTGTAGAAGCGAATGCCACTAGCTTTCTCTGGCCCTCAAGCACCTCTCTACTCAAGGTTTGAGTAATTGATGATGCCGAATTAATGGAATCCTGCAAAGTGCATCAAGAGAAATAATGCCATTGAGATACCAAGGGTGGCAAGCTAAATAAGAGCAACACTATAATATTTAAATAAGCTAAATAATTCTAGATATCAATCATTTCTTTTAAGCAGGTGAGAAGTTCGTCACTTCAAGTATGAACTAAGCAACAAATATTTTAAGATAAATAATAATTTTAACATTTTCTACAAGACATAAAAGCATATAAGAATCAGCAAGATTCCTCAGTATATCGGTGATATGATGACCCTAGCCCGCACAAAGATGCAAATATGTTCTCATAGAAGGTATCTTCCTTTTGGCCTAAATATGCAAAAGGGGCCTTCATAGTTCATACAAAAGACAACAAGAACCAAAACATTGTCAATCAAGATATCATTAACAAAATACCATGAAAGCTTGATCTCTTAAAATTGGCAAGCAGTTACACCTCACAAGTGGATCCAGATCCACCAGTTTTAGGGAAGATATATTCCCAACTTATATGTATCACTCTATCGCCAGCTCTAAGAGACTAGAGAGAAATTGGTGCACAGAACACTTAGAAATAAGTGTGGATCCAAATCCCCTTGATATAGATTTTGAGACTTTTAGCAATTTACAAGTTGAATTTTTTTATAAAAACAAAAGGCATAAAAGAGGTCATCTCTAGCCCGATCAATTTCATTATACTCTTTTAATTCATATAATCCTGCTCATCTTTTCTGACAACTCATCTATCTCTCCCTAGGAGAGAATATCTTGAGTAATACATTTTTATACAAAGGAAAAGGTTGCTTCAAAAGACCCCAAAGGAACAAATAGACACAGTTACTCACCCTTAGTGTCATTGCCAACGAAGTGGGTGCAGATTCAAGGCGTTGCTGCACAGCAGTTGAATGTTCAACCATGCCTTTCTGAAATGTAGCATCCACTTGCTCAAACATGGCTTTACATGACATCTCAAATGCAGGAACCACTGATGTTTCAAAACTGGATTTGAGTGCATCCTACAGAAAAAATTATTTCACAGTAATGAACAAATGTTTCCTCGGATGAAATCACAAATACCAATAACTCCAAGAATGATGTATAATATGAAGATACAATACTCTAGAGAGTGAAAGCAAGTGACATACCTGAAGCACCTGTTTGCCAGTTGTCTGAAATTGTGCTTGGATTTGCCTAGCTACAGTAGCTTCAAGTTTTGAATTAACTGATTTATCAAGTTGGTTCACTGCCTTATCACCCACTCCTCTCTGGCATAAAATGCCAATTAGATTCCAGCAAAAACAACCTTATTGCGTTCATTCTAATTTCTATTAGATAGAAAGACAATGTGCAAACCTGGAAGGACTCCACTATAGCAGAAGATATTATTTTCTCCACAGCAGGAGACATTGCACGTACTACTGCTTGCCCAACTGAAGCCATTTCCTTCTTTACTGTTTTCTCCAGTATTACTGTTAGATCCTTATTCATAAAGTTACTAATCAAACCGGTAACTTGTTGAAGTCGATCTCGTAACAACTTTTCACTTTTTGCATTCTCCTCCTGAATTCGAGCCCACAAAGCATCACTGTTGGCCTTGACAGCTTTTTCCATGTTTCTGCCTAGGGCAGCCTCAAGCCTTCTACCTTCTTTTGTCACTGGAACAGCAACCATCATTGTCATTTGCTTCTGCATCTCTTTTTGCATAGTCAACAACTGCCAAATAAGAAGATAATAAATTATTTATGAACCAAACTGCCAAAATATGCAAAATACAATTCTTGCATGTTACTTCAATACACTTTTATACTCTTTTCACAAGTTAAAAAATCAGTCAAGCACAAACAAATAATATATACATCTCTTAAGGTCTTAAAATAAGGAAATGAAAAACTCATTTGGATAGAAAATGAACAAGCACTCATAGAGAAGTTAAAAACTCTAGCTTCTGGAGGTCAGAAAAGAGATATTAAAAAAAATGTTTTCACCTTTTTTCTGAGAATAGTTCGTTACTATTTAAAAAAAACACTTATAAAAAACATTATCAACAAAAAGTCCCCTTAAACACTTGCTAATAAATTAAAATATTATGCATGATTAGCTAAACATCATCTTGACCATCCAAAAACCCTTGAGAAAGCACCTGATTGATTGATTCTTGCATTGCCAGAATTTGAGGGAAAGCATTTTCAGCAGATGGGAAGCTTGGATTTCCATTTGTTTCATTGAATGAATCAGTTGAATTGCACACACTTTGAGAAGATGGGGAAGGGCCTGATGCTTGAGAATTTTTACCCTTCTGTCTTTTCCCTTTTGCATTAGGCACATGAGATGGTGGTACTGCCACAGATGTAGATGAGCCAGAAACCTTTTCATGGGCATCTTTCGCCAAGTCTTGGAGTCCATCCTCACCGGCATCAGAAGGTTGAGCCAGCGAGTCTCCTCCCAGAGAATCAAGTTGTCCAGATTCCTCTGCAAGATATGTGTCCCCAGATATTGCACAGCATTCTCGGGCCATCTCAATACCAAGATCTGAAGCCTGAGAGCAAAATAATTTTTCCTTATCAGAAACTGGAGTTTGCTGTGACCCCTGCCTACCAAATTCATCATTTGGATTAGATCTTGTCTCACCCACCACTTTCACTTCCACTTCGGCATTACCGACATCAACCACATCCTGGATCTTTGCTTCCCCCTCAGTCTTCCTATCAATTATGTTAGTCTCAGAGGTGGAACCAGATTTTGTGATCTCAGATGGTGTAACTAGATGAGTTGGTTGCATAAACATAACAGAAGGGTTAAGTACACTAGAAATGTCATCCTGCTTCACTTTCTTGTCGTCATTCTTTGGATCATTATTCAATGGGTCAGACATGTTCCTGTGAATGGGATCCAATTGTCTGTCTATTGAATAATCATTAACAGGATGGTCCCCAACTTGATCATTCAAGTTAGATTGTGGACTCCTGATATCAGAGAGTTTCCTAGATAACCTTGGGCTCAAAGGAAGAGGTGGAGATGGAATACAAACAATATCAGGATCACTACTAGATGGAACTAATGTAACAGATTTAGGTTCAGTATTTGAACTGCTGATTTCTTTAGAAATAGGTGCCTCAGCATGACCAGTGCTTAAAGGGTACCTTGCCATAAATCCACTCTCCGTACTACCTGCTGGTAACATTGTTTTGGGAGCAGAACTGGTTAAAGACATTTCAGATGTTCTACCTACAGAAGAGTCTAAAGAGTGGAATCCTTCAACATTAACTGCATCGCGGGAAACACTGGAATCTGACTTCTCTAGTCCCAAATTTTCCATTGGTGGAGGCAAGCACTGGGATAAATCCAAAGCATACTGCTGAATAGCCTGTGTCTGAACACAATAAACCTGAACAATATGTTCACCATGAGGTAGAATATCACTTGTACCAGTAAAACTCAGAATGGGCATGGTCACAGTAAACTCAGCTATATAATCCATGCGTGTTGACTCTGGATTAGAACCATATTCTAAATGCACAGCATATATAGCATTCCTCTGGGCATTTGCAAGTAAAAGCAGACCTGCATGAGGCAATGCTGCAACTTGATTAAAGAATGCATCCTTAGATGGTTGAGCTGAACTCTTCAACTCCAACGTCTGAGTGCATTTCCATGATTCAGTGTCACTTGGGAGAAGCCAACCTTCTTCACTTGCTGAGACCCAAAGCTTCACCTCCCGATTTTGTGGTCCCTACACAGATTTCAATTATTATAAACAAGTAAAACAATATTACTATACCAGCCACATGTGAAAAGGTAGTTCTATGGAGGACTATCTGATAGAAACAACAAACCACGGACACAGACATCTGTCAATTTTTTTAAGCTTTTAAATGTAAATAAAATTGATTATTATCACAAAAATTGCACTACCCTGGTACTGGACAACACAAATTCAGATAGAAGACCTAATCTACTACAGTTGTTGAATACACTTACTGCTGTTATAAGAACAATATGATAGGGCTGGTGTGGAGCAGTAAAAAATGTAGCAGAAAAAACTGGATGTCCGTCATGGGGTCTCAAAATTGCAAGTGGTTGTGTCTTGCGATCTTCCCAGATCTTTATCTGTCACATTTGATGATCATAGACAAATATGATTAAGACATCTATAACAAATTAAACAAAATAAGAATTAAGCACAATGTCAATAGGCATGCATGAGAATGTTAAACTCAATTGAGACCAAATTCAAATTAATAAAGAGAAAATCAGGTAGTTTTCTATCAGCATTATCTCCAAGTTTCCAAATGATCCTAATCTGTTACATAACTTCAATAAATATTATCAGATTTAAAGTGTCGGTATAAAATAAAATAAACTATAAATAATTATAGAGCACAACTTTTTCCCTGGTTTCATATGGGCAAAAACTTAGATGTAGTTCTTTTAGTGCTTTTGGTGTTATTCTCATCAAAATTAGAGTTTCATTTTGGTATTCAAGGCTGACTTTAAATGCTGCCTTTTATGTGTGAGTTACCAAGGTGAAACTCTAACTTTAATAAGAGAACACCAAAAGCATTTAAGGAACTACCTCCAAGTGTTGTTCATTCAAATTAGTTCTCCATTTTTGTCCTCACTACTTTTTGGTAACTGCATCTACTTGTTTTTGAGCAATATTTGCATGAGAACAGTGCCAATAAGCACAAATTTAAGAAAATATTAAAATACTTCAGCACATTTTAACTACAGATAAATGTTATCAAATAGCAGTCTAGGCATGACAAATTTGAACAAAACACTATGTAAGGAGCATAGTCAAGCAGCTTAGGAGAAACACTATTTGTGTGGCAGCCATGGCAGAAACAGTGACCATGGCCGAAAAACCAAAACTTTTAAGCATGCTTTTCAAAGCAAACAAACAGTCTCAATCATTCCACACAATTATAATTATTGAAGGGAAACAACTCTTCTATGCACATTCATAACCAAGGTTGTCAATCTCGAGAGTTTACGTAATCTCATGGAGGCTCCGCAAACTCGTATCGTAAACTCGGAAGAGATTACTCAATAAAAAATAAATAAATAAATAAATAAAAATAACATAATAATTGAACATTTTAACTCCATATTAAAGAGCAAAATAGTAAATTACATTAATAATAAATGTTCTTAACACAAGTTCTTAACAAAAGTTCACACAAATGACAAAACACAAGTTCTTAAAAATAGACAGATAAAAAACTAAGACATCAAGAGTTGGTTTGCGCGGAGGAGAAGAACACGGAGGCGCGCGGAGGAGAAGAACAGCAGAGGCGCACGAGGGAGAGGAGGCGCGCGGGGGAGAATAGGCGCGCGGGGAGAGGAGGCTCGCAGGGTGAGGAGGCGCGCGAGGAGGAGAGGAGGAGCATGGAGGAGGCGACACGGAGAAGGAGATGCGTTCAGAGACTAAATGAGAGCTCCTAAATCCTAACACAAAACACACGTTTTGTGTAAATGAAAAAAAAAACGTGATCTCTTAAACTCGGACGTGATCTCGCGAGATTACCGAGATTACTCCAAGATTACTTAAAAACGAGTTTACCTCCGAGTTATACAGGTAGGCTGCCCTAATCTCATAAACTCGTACGAGTTTACGAGTTATCACTAGAGATTGACAACCATGTTCATAACCCTCTCCAGTCATGTAAGAAAATAAATTCCTTCATTGCATATTCCCACCAGGCCACCACTATCTCTGGCAAGTGCATGGAAGCCTCTGGCATGCCTCTGGTGTCTCCAGTAATGGAACTAAATTTCCTTCTCTAACTCTAACTTTCCCTTTGTTTCTCTACTTTCCCTATTCCTTTCCTGTTCTTTCTCCTCCCCTCTCTGCTCTGTTCTATGAATCTGGAATTCCAATTTCATATTTCTAATCATACTCAATTTTTAACAAATAAATTCATATTCCCAGACATACACTCTTCAATGAATCTGAAATTCAGTTTTCATATTGCTAAACAAAATGATTTTAATAATTAAGTTCAGATTTGGAGAATATCTCTTCCTACTGTATATCTTCTAGTTTTGAAAAAAATTATATTTTCTAGTTTATTGTTTTTCATGTGTTAATAGGTTTTCTTTTATTCATTATATATCTTTCAAAAAATTTTGTGTATATATATATATATATTAGTTTTTGTTTTTATTATAGCTGTCATGCTTCCACGATTATGCCATCCACCATATTTTTCTGGCAGATTTTTGGCTCGCTGCAATCCACCATTAATAACAATACTACAGACTTCATTATTATTATAATACATCTTGAGCTTTTGATTGGCAGTGTCTGTCGGCATGGTGTTCATACAATAATATTGCTCACTGTTTTCTCTCTCCATTCCTATACTTGAATGCACCAACATAATTGTGTGCCTGGTTTTATGAGCAAGCTAAAAGAAACCATATTTATCCTGATAAAATAAATGCTATAACAAACATTGGCATCTTTCAATTCAACCAATGAAATAATTTAAAACTGGACAAAACAAAGAACAGCAATTGATTAGAACAAGAAAAAAATACATACTGTGCCATCCTGTGACGAAGATACCAATCGATTGGTCATCCATTGGCACATTGACAAATCAGTCACCTCCGCATCATGTGTGCCAACCAGCTGAACCCCATCAATGAGCTTGTCAACAGGACATCTCAGAGGAACCTCTGCCACAAAGGCTTCACCATTTCCAACTTTTGTGGTGTCAATTCTCAAAACATATTTTCCCATACCAACTATCAAAATCTCCTGTATGAAAGGATGAATTAATATACAAGAATACAAGGAAGAAAGGTAAATCATAGCTTAAAGTTTTTAGAATTGAGAACAATGAAACAGGAGAATATGGGGCAATTACTTGTTTGTGGCAGTGCCAGCAAATTTGAGGATGTTCAACTTTCTCCTCCCCCACTATTTGAAGAGCAATAACTATATTGGCAGTAATTTGAGGCTTATCTTCATCGTCTGGACCTTCAGAGATCTTCCACACATAGACACGGCCATCTGTGCCAACACTGTAGAGAAAGCATGTTTCCATAATTCATAGACAAGCAAACTATGCCATTTAAAATTTTCGGGCAACAAAAACTACCTAGCCAAGAGATGAACATCTTCAGCAAAGAACGCCAAGTCTGTGACCCTCTGACAAGGGGGAAAAAGATTAATCAAATGACAAATTGTTTATCCTTTAAATAATTTAGCCATTGAAAATACATGCATAGCATTATAGAAATAGCAAAATAACTGACGAGTCCAAAGGCAACAAACCAGCAAACAACCTTTGATTTAGAATAAGTACAAGAACTCAACTACAACAAACAAAAAAAAATATGGCCCTTCACCGAATTATAGCAGCACTAAAAAGTAACTTTCACTAATAAAAAAGCAATGCTAGCCGGGAAATCCAATGTTAAGGGTGTTCCCATGCCCATTGTTTCTATCTGCTATTTTTTCATCCAAGAAATTAATAGAAGCATCATCAATATAACATATTTGGACCAGGATCATGATTCAAATTTCACATTGCCCCCTTTCCTCACGGACACAAAAATAACCCAAGATGTTAAAAATGAAACTTAAAAGTTAAACCAATAGACAGAACATTTTACATCAGGAAATTAAAAGCTAACATCTCCCAAAGTACATGATAGATCAACAATCAAAATGCTCAACGTACATGCACACAAACATATTCCGATTAGCCACAATACATCATGCCATTATCCAATCCATGCAAAGCCACTCAACCGGCGAGAAAAGCCTTTCATGTCGTTGCATCTCATAAACTCATAATAACCAACCATTTCCTAAAGTCCCCTCATTTCCATTTCTTTTCTCACCCCTCCTAAACACTGCCCCATATAACTTTTTTTTTTCCTTATAATGCAAAACCAACAGAAGAAAACAACAAGACAATGCAATGCGGTTCACTTAAAGCAAACAAAGCAGCCCAGGAGAAAAAGAAGAGCATGCAATGCAAAGTGATTCACTTAAAAGCAAACAAACCTGAGCGTGGCCTCTGAGCAAAGACCTAACAGCAGTGTGAATATTAAGCACCCTAATGTTCCCCTGTTTGAGTCCATAGCATATATACGACTTATTCACCGCAATCTGCCTCCCCAAAACCGGGTTCGGATCCGACCCGTATTTGGTAATCGGAGCGACCTCAAGCTGCGGCTGGAGCTCCCCGGGCAGCCTGACGTCGACGTCATAGGCGACGCGCTCCCCGGCGAGGTGGCGGCCAGTGGGGACCTTGGTGCTGGGGAGGCGCGTGAGGGCGGCGGCGGCGGCGGTGGCAGCGGCGAGGACGGCGGAGGAGGGCGAGGAGGAGGAGGAGGAGGGAGGGGGCTGGGGGGAGGGGTTGGTGAGGAGGGCCATGAGGCGGGCGCCGGCGTTGGGGTTGGAGGGCGGAGGAGGCTGGAGAGGCGGGGTGGGGAAGGAGAGGGAGCGGTGGTCGAAGGCGGGGAAGTGGAAGGGCGCGGCGGAGAAGGGCGGAGGGTAGGAGGAGGAGGAGGAGGAGGGTGAGTGGGCGGTGTTAGGGTTAGGGTTAGGGTTAGGGTTGAAGAAGGAGTGCATGTCGAAGGGAGGAGGAGGGTGGTTGTGGTTGGGATTGGGATTGGGGGAAGCCATCATCAGATTGAATCCACAATTCAATCTGAATGATGATGTGATTTGTTATATAGGGATTGGAGATTGGAGATTGGAGATTGAAGATTGAGAAGAATGGTGTTTGAGATCTGAAGAAAGAGGAAGGAAAGGGGAAATGGAAGAGGCTGCACCAATTTCTGATTTGCTTACAGAAATGGAGCTCATTCACTCATTCTTTCTTCTTTCAACTTAAATTCAACTACCCTTTCATTTAATTATTACCCTAAATCTATATTTCTTTTTATATCAAATATAATTTAATTATATTATATCAATTCAAATTGTTTTCTACTGTTCTTCAATAAATTAAATAGAAGATAATTTATTAAACTTGATAGTATAATTCTGAGTAAATTACACTTTTGTCTTTTTATTTTACCATATCTAAAGTTTTGTGTCTTTTAATTTTAATTTCTTAATTTTATAAAATTCGTAATTTAGATCCCTTCATTAAAATTCATCCACCGATAAAATTGACCATTAGTGATGATTTAACATTAACTTTTAGGTTGAATTTCATTATCAATTCTATTTTTTGTCTCAAAGTTGCAAATATGATAAAAATAATATGAATTAAATTTATTAATCTTTTGCATGATTTTTTTTAAATTTTATTTAAAAAAACTATTTATGAAATCATGTCTATTATTTATCCGTGTTACACTAATATTGGATTTAGCCTATGTAATTGTCTGTAAAATTTTGTTTCAAAAACTGCAATTATTGAGTTTCGAAGAGATGACTCTTTTATGTTACTTTAATTAATAATAAATATATTTTACATGTAAAACTAATTGGTTACAAATTATATCAACTATCATGGAGTGAACCACTATTTCCTCTGTCAAATGAGTGAAGCACTAGTAATTTAGTAAATTAAAGAATGAAAAATGCCAAAAGTCCTTAAAAACTACATTTTGTCAATCAATACAGTGTCATGTTGACACTTCCTCTTTTTCCTAGTTGGTCTTGCAAAACATATTCACATCACATTGAATAATTTGAAAGGGATACTTTGAATTGTATTTTTTTTTAATGTTGATTCATCATTGGTTTCTAGTTATAAGGGTGTAAGTATGTTGGATTGGATCGAATTTGAATAAATTCATTACTTAACTTGATCAAAATTTAATTGGTCAAGTTAGACTAAATTTATGTAATTTTCTTTTGAAATTTAACTCAATCCAACCTGATTGTAAATGGATTAGATTGGGTTGGACCAATTGATTCACCATAATTAATTTTTTTTAAAATTAAATATTTCAAAATATACATACATCATTTGATACCTTACTACAAATACAATGTTATCGATCCATAAAACGAACAATGATACAAACTAATTTTTAACATAATTTTGTTGATTTGTTACATTATTATCAATTCAAACAATCATTAATTAATACAAAATAATTATATTCATTATCCGTACACCTTTTTCTTCCCCTTATTCATTATTCGTACACCTTTTTCTTAATCCATTTGTCTTCTTCATCACCCTTAATTATATTCTTTTGATTAGATTTTCTTTAGTGGTGATGGGTAGTCGTGTAACAATATCTTGAACAACCCAAAACATTAGAAAATACACAAAGTAGGTTGGTAAGAAAAGGGAACAAGTGCATGATATAGTTTTAGTAAAAGGATATTGCTCATATATATATATATATATATTTGTTGGCTTAATTTGATTAATTTATGTGTAAGGAGAAATGGTGTTGAGCAAGCACATTATGTATTTTTTGGTGTGACACATAGGAGTGTCAAATGAATCAGCCTAACAAAATTCAACCCAACTCATTCTCAATCTAATGCAAAGTAGGTCGGGTTGAGTTGAACTCAATTTTTTTTATTAAGTTACAAATCCCAACCCATTCCATGGTGGGAAGGTAGGTTGGATTTAGTTGTCAACCCATTAAACAATTTTATAACCTATTTTCATATGATTTGTATTAGTATTCCTTCAAAGTTTATGGCATATATAAACTTGAATATACCTATCAATAACAATAAAATAAACACATCAACAAAATCAAAATAAGTTTACAATACAATCACATATAAGTCCATAAAAACAATAAAAATAAGCATGCATTGTAATCACAAATAAGTCTTAATGTCACAAATAAATATCATATAGTCAATGTCAATAAGTAAATATAAAGGTTGTTTGTATCAGCTACACCGTGACATTACAATAGTCATGTAATTTTGTGGATGTAATAAGTCAATCCAAGCTAACCTATCATTTAACATCGTTGAATTGACAAATTGTACAGATTGAATTATGTGAATTAAAAAGATTAAAAAGTAAATCCAATCCAATCCATCTTGATGGGCCATGTAGGCTAGTCCATTGGGTTAAACCAATTTCAACACCTTTAGAATATAAAAATGTTAAGATAACACTATCATATGTGGTAGGAATAAAAACAAATATTATAATTGAATAATTGTAGTCTAATGTCAAATTAAATGTCTATTACAAATTTAGGTTGAAAAACCCAACCAAAATCTCCATACAAAAATCTCTTCAATATATATTAGATTCAGGGCATGTTTGACAATGTTCAAATAAAAAAATCATTTATTATTCAAAAGATCTTTTAGAAAATTATAACTAAAAAGTAATTGTTTTTTAAAATAACAAACCAAATATACACTATGTACTTAAAAGATAAACATCATTGTTATTAAAAAATTGCAACTCTTATTTAAACATCCATTATTGCCTTAAAGATCAAAATTAGAAAAGAAAACAAAAACCCTTCTTACACTCTTAATACGATACTCTAATGCAAATCATTGTAAGACAATGACACATAATTTGCAGGCACATCCTATTCCATAAAAAATCACCTTGTGTCAACCTTTATATCAAAAAGTACATTTCTTGTCAAAAGTCACAATTTTTTTTAATGATAACTACATTACACAATCAAGTTATGCAACATTTTTGTATGCCGAATGAAGATAGAGATGTTGCTTCTAACTCCCTATGGTCTTTTAGACCTCATCAATTTAGCATAAACTCATTTTTAAGATGCAAAATTTGTTATATAGTTGAAAATCACCATTATTTTGTTGGCTACAATATTATGTGAAATAAATACATGTTGAATTTCAAGTAACACAAAATATGGCAAAACATGTTTCTAATATAACACGCTCGTTAAAGAAAGTTTAATTTTTTTTTCCATTTAGTAATAACTTCACATATTTCAAAACTTTACCTTCTTTAAAACAAGTCAAACCAAGACTATGTTTTTCTTTGAAATTCAACAAAACTAAAAGGACTTGTCTAAGAGATTTTTTTTAAGGGTGGTGATTGTTGAACGTATTCAATTTGAAATTAATATTCTTATTATACTTATTGATTTTTCAAATTATAACATATCAAGATGAATGAGATTATGCTTCTAACTACTTGTGTGTGTTTTGGTTGTTCTTAGTCTCACTTAATTTGAGGGTTACACATGTTAATATAGAAACATAATTAAAAATTTGAATGAATAAATTATATGTTAAGTCAAACAATTTAACTTGAGTCATGAGGATAACATAGTTGGTTAAGTCTCTTTGTTCTTACTAGTTACCTAAGATTGAATCTTACTCCCCTCATATTTTATACCGTTCCATGCAAACTTGTACTTAAGATGAGGTAGAAAATTTACAATTTCACTAGAAATCCTCAAAGAGATTAGTTGTTGACTCTAGTCTTATACGAGGTTGTGCCTTGTTATAATTTAAATTTTTTAAAATGAAAAATGTAACTTGAGAATTTTCATCATGAATAATATGTTTTCCAATTTTGCACGAGAATTGTTCAAAAGAAATAGAACACCACAAATGGAGCAAGGCTACCTATACATGATATTTAAATTCATTTTACTTTTATAGTTTGAGATAGATTGAAATTAATGTAGTATTGGTTGCTATATTAGATTAATAAGACCTCAATGTACTATATACATGGAATCCATTCACAAAAATTTAAAGACATTGATAACTTTTTATTAAATACTCATTTTACACACTCATCCATTGGATTATAGCAACATTGTTTTATTTCCTTTACATGAAGGGAGGGTTTCGAAGTTCAAATGACTATACCACCCACAATTACAAACATTTCATCAAACAACTTCTTCACATTACTCATAATCACCAACTTTACTCATTGAAATTATTCAAACACCTTCATTGCACCACCTACCTTGCAATTGATGCATTATCAATTATACCAAATTGAGAATCTAAAACACGATGAGATCGATATATTTCAATTTAACGATAATTATTAAAATCCAAAGATTAGATCAATGTTTTGTGTTGACAAATAAAAGGTTGAATAAAGAGAGTTAAAGTTCCTTATCTTCCATAAGAATGCCCACCTTATTTTAATGGAGCTAAGGTGGTGTGACGAATTAGAAGAAGGTAAATATGATATTAGAGGTGATAGAGAAAAAACATAAGAGAGGGAAAGGTGGGGGTAAGATTCCCCCCTTCAAACTAGTCTTTATTGTTAAACATTGGGAAGAACTCCAAGAGTGAATGATAGTAAACCATACAAGTGAATTTAAGATCATATATTGACCTAAAATCTGAAGGTATTAGGTTGGTTCTTATGAAGTTTTTTTTATTTGTTTTTATTTGCATGTGATCCATGTTAATTTATTTTTGTATTTATAATGTGGCCAAGTGATCATCTCTGGTGAAACTCACAATTATATTTGATACCATGTTAATATGTAATACTTTTAATTATTTTTATAAATTTTTAAAATAAATATTATTTATCCATCTTTAAATGAACATAGGGCATAAATAATGACTATATGTTTTTAATGAATGTAAATAAAATAAAATTGTTTTATAGAAATTAAAATCAAAATTTGTTCATTTATAGAGATAAAACAAAACAATTATAAATTTTGAAAGTGTTCCTCCAACTATAAGTCTACTAACATTGATAAGGTCATTGCGCATTTGAGGTATTATCCACTTTAATATTTATTGAACCATTACGATTATATCCTAAAAAGATGTCTTGGTAGATTAAGAAATAAAGGTATTTATAAATTACTTTTAGTTTTAATCATTAAATGATATGAGATTTCAAGACATACCTAACAAGAAGGATAAAAAATATTTTTTTATTAAGATTAAAATCAAAACACATTAATTTCATTGAGACTAAAAATATATATACTAGCATTTTAGCCTGTGCAATGAACAAACAAAATATTTATTGTACAAAATTAAAATTTACAATAAATTATATGTACAATGTTCAAATATACAAATCATACTTAAAATGCTATATATATATATATATATATGAAATATA